TGAACCACGTAATGTGGGTGCTGGGAACTGACCCCAGGTCCTCTGAAAGTTTGGCAAGTACTCTTAAGGGCCAAGCTGTCTCTTCAGCCTGAAGCCTCAGAATTGTTCAATAATTCCCCTAGATGTCTCCAGCATACAACCACACTCAGTGGCACTGCATTCCAGGAAATGTCAGAACCTAGTGCTAATGAAGAAGTGTTTTAATTTTACCATCTCAATAGTTCTGACTGTCACCAGCCCCATAGGACATGAAAGAATCAATTCGCTCCATGTTCAGGTACAAAGCAACTTAATTGGATTTTCTTCAATCCATTTGTTTGTACGTTTAATAGCAGGGAGGAAAAATGATGGTAAGTAATGCTTAGTAAATGCCTATCACAAGCAAATGTACTTGAGTCCCCTTGCATACATTGTCTACTTTATCTTCCAAGCCACCAGGTGGCAGGAATTTTTCCTCCCGTACTTACACCGAAACTCAGAGCTGTTAACTGACTTGTACAGAGTCACACAGTTGGTAGATGGTGAGGCCAAGAGGAACACAAACAGCTGGGCCATCTGCTGTTCACGTTCATCTTCTTCTTAGGCCATGCTGCCCTTTCTAAAAGTTCCGTACTGAATGGAAAGTCAGTCAGCAGTCTAAACTTTCTGTCTAGGTTAATGAGAGCGGAAACATAGCCGTTAGGAGGGAAGAGAAGCATAGCACAGGTGATCACAAGGCTGGATGCACCTCAATTGATAGAGTTCTTGCCTAGCACACATAGGGCCCTTAGATAATCTCCAGTATCCCAAAGCCAACTGTGGTGACACACACCTGTCATTCCAGCACTCAGGAGACAGGAGTAGGAGGATCAGAAGATCAAGGTCATCTTCTGCTACATAGCCAGTCCAAGGCTAGTATTTGTCTCAAACAAACAAATAAATAAAAAACGTGGAAGATGCAGAAAACCCTAAGCTAAGGGAAGGAGATGCCAGCTGTCATTGTCAGAAGGTTCGGCCACAGGCAAGGCAACCATCACACTTTCTGATAATCTCTTATGCTGTCAGAGCACCACAACCATTTACTACCAACTGTGCACTTGGAACATCGGGCACAGACCCGCTCTGCTGATGGTGACACCCTATCTAGCAGGGAAGAGGGAGCACGTGCCGACAGGATCATCATGCCTTGCTTAGTCAAGGGAGTGGAGACAAGGAGGCTGCTCAGGGCCATCGGAGGAAGTTCCATAGAAGGGGACATCTGAGGTGTCAACCCAGTAGGGAAGAGAGACAGAGGGAATAGAGGCAGCTGAATCAAGGCAGAAACGATGAGGACGGGCTTGGACATGGAAAGGGCCATCAACCAATCCCTGAGGCAAGGAAAGTGCCCCACTCTTGCTGACTCCCTGCTTTCTTTGAAGGCTAAGAAATGTGTCTTTGTGTGTAGATGCATGTGTATGTATGTGCTTGAATGTAAGGTCAGAGGTGAGCTGTAGGTGTCAGCCTCCGGAGCCATCCACCTTGTTTTTTAAAGCTAGGGCCTCTTGTTTGCCAGGAACTTGCCAAGCAGATCAGTATGTCCCAAGGATCAGCCTCCCACCCTCCCCAGTGTTGGGATTACAAACCCACTCCACCATGCCTGGATTTCCTAAGGATACAAGGGATCAAGTTCAGGTCTTCAGCACTTTACTGACTGTCCAGAAGCAGGTCTCTAAGGTCTGTGGGTTTTAATCCACACTCGCCGGCAGCCATGAATCAGTGCTCTGCAAACACCCCCATCTCTATACCACTCAACAGTGCCATGGACCCATGCTCGCCCCTGGCCCATAGTCCAGCACAGCCACTCCACGTGAGATTCAAAACTGCAAATGTTTACAAAGATTCCTTAGGCTCCTCTGTCACTTGACTGATGACAACTCAAAATAAATCAATGCTCCTGTCTCAGTGGGGAGAGTTGAGTTCCTTAACTAAGGGTTAAGAGGGCTGTCTCCAAGTTGCAGGGAGCCTTTCAGCCAGCTTCTGCTGATACAGTTTGAATTCCAAGCATTTCTTTTGAAGCCTGAAAATAGGATCTGTATACTGTGGCCTTAAAAAAAAAAAAAGAAACATTGTTCATTTTAATTAATGGTAAACTTAGCAGGTTTTAAATAACAATTTGTCTTCATGAAAGAAAACCGGGGCAGGGGAGGGTAGAAAACTTCGAATCTGCTTATTGGAATAACCTCAGTAGACAGTAAGTCATCCTTTCCAGCAGGTTTCCGACAGTTAATTAGAATAAGCACGTCTTTCATTTCCTTTCTGCATCAACTTAAAGCAGCAGAGCCAATGTGCCTTATAGTGACACCCAGTCAGAAAAGTGCCCCAGGACAACGGATCACTGTAGCCCCTTCATTTTGAATTATTTCAGAGCACTGGGGATTTCTGTGATGTGTCTATCAAGTCTGGCCAATAAGCAACAGCGTGGCAGCACTGACTAACTGACTAACTTACTGCACTACCCATCCTCAAACTGGACGGCTTATCTTTGTCTCTCCTACATTCCCAACCCTTTGGCGGGGGTGAGGGGGTTGGGGGGGCTAACTAGAGGAGCCACGGAGTCTACAAGTCTACCCTGAACTAACTCTACAAAGTTCAAGTCAATCTTATTCTTACAATGTAACATATTCAACTCACACTAGATCACCCTGGTCTCCTGGAGGTCACCTAGATAGAGAATGGGTTTAATCCCTGTTCTGTATCATGCCTTCCAGTGACAACTTTACACTCCTGATGCTTCTGCCTCTACTGCCTGAGTGCTGGGGTTACAGGTGTACCACACCCAATCTAGACTCAGTTTCTCCCCTTCCAGGAATCTATCCAGGTGGTCATTACATCCCTCCATTATCCTAGGAAACCAAAAGAGTCCTCTCTGCATCCCCACTGGTAACTAACCTCTGTGGCTTCTCTCCCTCTGGTGTTAACTCAGAGATTTCAGAAAAAAGAAAAACAATTCCCAGACCTTTCCTATAAACACAACTTGTGAAGATCAACCATATTCTTAGATTCATTCTTCAATGCCAAGATAATGGAAACAAGAAAGATTTTAAATAATTTGTCTGAAACCAGGGAGAGTCGAAACAGATTCTATGACAGCACTTAGCTCTGGAAAGGTTATGTGACTCCATCAAGGTCATACAGACAAAAAGTCAACCCCTTCTTCTCAAACCTTGCTGTTCAATGTTATCTTCAGGATGATCACACCTGGAGCTCCATACCAATTCTGGGCCCCGCTCAGATCCATTGACTGAGCTTTGAGAAGGACTGGGCTCATCATAGGTCACTACAGAGACAATGAGAACTCAAGACAAACAGGAACTTGAAGCATGGCTCACCTTTCCTAAATACAACCAGGGGCTGGGACACAGCTCAGGGACAGAGCACTGCTCTGGATGTAAGCAGAAATATCATTGGTTGTCTTGAAATGACATCACTACCTGAGCTTCTGGTTTCCATAGCATTGCCCTAATATAGTTACATAGCTGTGATCCCATGCTTTGTAGATAGATAGTGTGTGTGTGTGTGTAATAGGGAATACAGTACAGTAAGTAATATTATTTCCAGACTCAAAGTCATCATTAATATCAGTACCATCAATCATGCACACTGGAATCACTTTTCAGCCTTTCTTGTTTTTTTTTGGATTCATTTATTTATTACATATACAGTGTTCTGCCTACATTCCAGAAGAGGACACCAGACTGAACTGTAGATGGTTGCGAGCCACCATGTGGTTGCTGGGAATTGAACTCAAGACCCCTGGAAGAGCAGTCAGTGTCCTTAACCTCTGAGCCATCTGTCCTGCCCCCTTTCTTGGTTTTAATGTATTAAGTATCATTTAACTTTCATGTTGGATTGTTATCTTTATGATATTTTATGTTCTTGTCTCTCTAAAAATTATTAAATAGAGGACTGGAGAGACAGCACAGCAAGGACCTACTTTGGTTCCCAGCACCCATATCGGGCAGCTCACAACTGAAGTAACTCCAGTTCCAAGAGATCTGATGCCTTCTCTAGTCTCTAGTCTCTAGTCTCACATGCACGTGCCCCTACATAGATACACAGAGAGAGAGAGAGAGAGAGAGAGAGAGAGAGAGAGAGAGAGAGAGAGAGAGAGAGAGAGAGAGGAGGGAGGGAGAGAGGAAGGGAGGGAGTGAGAGAGATTGAGAGAGGGAGAGAGACAGAGAGAGAGAGAGAGAGAGAGAGAGAGAGAGAGAGAGAGAGAGAGAGAGGAGGAGACTGGAATCTTTTTTCCTAAAGAAAATGAGAAAAATGAAGCTAGAAAATACTGCATAATAGCTTATTTTGGTGCTGTATTAAGAGTCAAGGGAGCCCTTCCCCAAACCAAAACCAAAAAACATGTATGCCTGCCATCTCCTTCTGGATCCCAGAAGCTGGGCTGCTAAGAGCTCCTAGGCACATGGGCTGATCACATCTCTAGCAGGATCCATGACAAGCTCAGCTGCTGTGAGCTGAGCCCACACTGGCAATAGCACACGTTAGGGACAATGCTTTTCTGCAATCCCAGCACTTGGGAAGCTGAGGCAGGAGACTGAGACTCTGCCTCAAAACCAAGAGGAAAAAAAAGATGTTTGTCCCCCAACATGCCACATATGAACCGTAAATAAAATTTTGAAGAGGAAGAAGTAGCTAATATTTGTATTTGTTAAAGTACATTCATACTTGAGACGGAATCCAAACTGATTCTGTGTTGTGAAGGAAGCACTGTGAGAAAACCCGGATTCAATGAGGCAGCGGCTCCCCAGCCTGTCAGTGCAGATAGTAAAGGACTGAGCCTTATAAAAATGGATGCAAAATTCTGGGGAGGGGCCAGATTTCAGTGGCATTTCTGCAGGGAACAGACCCAGCACCCCCACGGTGTAAAAGCCTAGTATTGTTTAAGAGAGCTGATCCTCTGAGCTGCTACTCTTGACACACAGTTCCAGAAAAGCCCAGGGACAGAGTTAACCTCAGTGTGTCCTCTGCAGGTCTTTCTACCAATCCCCCTGGACTTCCACCGTGAGGAAAGGAGCTGCAGGACCAACATCCTCTAAGATGTTTATATGGACCAGTGGCCGGACCTCTTCATCTTACAGACACGATGAGAAAAGGTAAAATATTTGACTCCAGGTGCCCTTGGGCAGACTTTACAAAATAGACAGTCACAGAGGACAATGAGGATTCTGTTGGCTACTCTTTCTTTTTCTTTTTTTTTATTTAAATAAGAAAAATGCATGCTTCAAATATCAATCCTAGCTCCCCCTTCTCCCTCCCAGCCCCATCCCCATCCCCCCACTCCCAGCCCAATCCCCACATCTTTCCCCAGGGAGGGTGAGGACCTCCTTGGGGGGATCTCCAGAGTCTGTCATTTCAACCAGGGCAGGACCTAGGCCCTTCCCCATGTGTCCAGGCTGAGAGAGCTTCCCTCCATGTGAAATGGGCTCCTAAAGTTCATTTGTATGCCATGGTGAACACTGATCTACTATCCAAGGCCCCAGAGATTTCTGAGGCCTCCTCATTGACACTACATTCATGGATTTTAGATCAGTCCCCTGTTGGCCTCTCAGGCATCAGTCTGGGGTTCAAGAGCTCCCCCCTTGTCTGGTCAGCTATCTTTGTGGGTTTCACCAGCACAGTCTTGACACCTTTGCTCATCACTCCTCCATCTCTGTCACTGGGTTCCAGGAGTTCAGTTCAGTGTTTAGCTGTGAGTATCTGTCTCTGCTTCCCCGTGGGTCATTTCTTGATTAATGATTGACATGAGAGAACCCAGCTCACTGTGGGTAGGGCCAACCCCCCCCCCAGGCTGGCGGTCCTGGGTACTATCAGAAAGTAGGCTGAACAAGCCACAAAGAGCAAGTCAGTAACAGTACCCTCCACGGCCTGGCATCAGCTCCTTTCCCCTGTTGCCTGCCTGGAGCTCCTGTCCTGACTTTCTTCAGTGATGGAGTGTGATCAGAGAACTGTAAGTTGAAACAAACGCTTTCCTCCCCAAGTTCCTTAGCCCGACTTCTCTAAAAATCACTTCACCGTATGCCAGGGGTGTGTTTCCACAGTTGTCATAAATCCTGTGCGGATTGACCATCATAGAAACAGAACCTCACTTTTTAAAATGTGAGAGGGACTCTACACCACAGAGCCCGGGCTCCAGACACTCTGGCTTTTGGCCTCCCTTTCTCCTACATGCTCATTCACACCCAGTGACGTTGCAAAACCGTTCCCTGTCAGAAATACCCTCCCTCGCTCATGTACCTACACAGCCTTCCCTTCATTAACTTCAGCTCTGCCTGAAGATACCCAGGTAGGGCTCGAACACACTCCCAGTCTCAACATCCTCTTTCCCCAGTCAGACTTTGCTTTGCTGTCTGTGGATTTCTGGAGCCTTGCACTGTGTCCGGGACACAGTAGATACTGAGTAAACTGACTCAAGAGATGGACCTGCGTTTCTAGGCACTGCAGGAGGAAGGCTGAAACTGCAAGAGGGCTCAGGGAGGGCTGGCAGGTTCGTAGATCCTTCAGAGTTCTTGCAAGAACAGCTGACGGGAGGAAACACATTGAATGAGAAAGAAGGCATGAGGGTAAGGTCACACAATGCAAAACCAAATGGTTCTGCAGCTCAACCCAGCCACTTCATTTGTCCTAGTGAGAAAATACATTCACAAAATTACATAACCCCCTCCCCTGTGTGTGTGTGTGTGTGTGTGTGTGTGTGTGTTGCATATGCTCACATGCACAGGCAAGTGTGGAGGCCAGTGTCTGATACTGGGTATCTTCAACCTTTCTCCACCTTAGTTTTTGAGATGTGGTTTCTCACTGAACCTAGAGTTCAGTTATTTGCTAGACTGGTTAGCCAGTTGCCTGCCTGTCTCCACTGGATACTCTGCATTCAGCGCTAGGTCTGCAGGTGTGAGCCACTATGCCCTGCTATTCTTATGTGGGTGCTGGTCCTCACACTTGCATGGAAGGCACTTTACCCTTGAAATGTCTCCCCAGGCTCTCTACAACTGTTTTTAAATATTTATTCCCTCCACATGTTACCAGCGGTTGGGCCCGAGCCAGGTATTTCCAGGTTCTTGCATTTTAATCCAAAGAATTGAAGTTAAAGGTTATTTGACTGCAAAATAACAAAGAAGCTTTCTTCAAAAGCAAAGCACTGGCACAGATCAGAAATAAGTACATTGTGGGTAAACAGGAGACCACTTGAGTGACAAAGAGCTCAAAGGCTCTCACTCCTGTCTGGGGCTTCCTTTTATAGAGTTGAAGAGGAGAAGCCTGTTCTTAAGAAGTGTAGTTAGAGTGGTCCTCTCTTTTGATTGATAGATGAGATCATAAAATCGTTTTTTCTGCCATGTATGTCCTTCCCATGATGCATCTGATTTTAATCATATGCACACTCATGTACATATGCTAAGTAGGGGAGTCTCCCTAAAAGTTCACTTGAGAAACCAGTTTTGCCTTATTATCATGTACCACAAACAGGTTCAGGTCTGATCAGCCCTCCTACCCTTATACATGAATGTATTCGGAATACATTAACCAGAAACTGTCTGTTTGATGGTTGTCAAGAGAAGAAACTAAAACTGAAAGCCTGATGAAACCGGGGAGAGCCAAGGGCTGCCACCAGGTTGCTAGGCGCCATGTTCGGAGATTGCTGTGTGCACAGAGTACATGCTGGTGAGGGTCTTGTTGGACGAGGGGGATGCGCAGCCCACGCCAGGTGGAGTCCCAGGTCGCTACGCTACTCCCTATGCTTGCCTGCCTTATGTTTGCTTTTTTCCTCCAGGTCTCTTTCTTCCTCGTTAATCTTGTTCTGGCATTCAAGTAAAGCCAAGTTTTAAACACACCTACTGTACCAGCATTCTGCAGCTTGAGTGACACATCAGGAAGAATATGATAAAAATCAGAATTTAGAATGACAGAGGGCATGCATAAGACCTGAGGGAGGTTTATTAAATATTGTTTGGGGTGTTTGTTTTTCTTCTTAAAACCTGAATTGTCCTATAGATAAAATTCCTTTGGAAAAAATAGGAAGCAAAATTACTTGTCATAATAAGTAGCTATTTACAGTAGAAATTTCAGGATAACTTCAATATTCACAATTTTAAAAATCTGTTAAGTGATGATATAAAATTTATCATTTAGCACTTTAAAATATTTTGACGTACTATTGCTGGGAACGAAGCAAATTAAATTGCATGCAAGTGATTATTGCAGCCACATACACATTTCTTTATTTCCAATGCTTTGTACATCTTATGTTACCTTACTTATGGGAAAATAATTCCATGATGTTTAAGTAGGAAACTGTAGCCTACAGGGCAACAAGCATTTGAACAAAGACTCAATGCTCCAAACACATTGTATTCATTACTTTTCTGTTGCTGTGACACTGTAACTGACAAAGGAAACTCAAGGAAGAAAGGAAGGGAGAGTTGATTTTGCATTTTGGCTTACAGTTTGAGGAGGCCATCCATCATGGCAGTGATGTCATAGAGACAGGAGCTTAAGGCAGCGGTCCCATCGTGTCTGCAGTCAGGAAGCAAGGAGAAATGAATGCTGCTGTTCAGCTTGCTTTCTCATTTTTATTCAGCCTGAGACCCCAGCCCACAGGACAAGTGCCACCCACACTCAGCCTGAGACCCCTTTCCTCACTCCTGGACACGTGTTCCACAATAATTCTAAATGCCACCAAGTTGATAATCAAGATCAGTCATCTGACAGATGAACTGGAAACCGACTTTCTTGGATCCTACCTGGGCTTCTGTGTGCTCTTGCTCAGGCAGGCAGTAAAGATGCACATGCAGTCAAGGAAAGGCCTGGACAAACTGGACACATTCATCCGGGGACGCCAGCTTGGAGAAGGGGCTGCACTGTGTCCTTCGGCTGTTTCTCCTTTCGTCTCTTAGCTGTGTAGGCCAAGGGCATGCACATTGACAACCTGTCCCACAAATGTATTTTATTACTTTAAATCCCATAATTACTGAAATCATTCTTGAAAACAAAAATTAAAGCTATAATTTAAGTGTCAGAGAATCGCATTGATGCAGAAAAGCAACCTAGTTATATGTTCCTTTAATTCTTAAGGGTTATCAGTTTACCTGGACTGGTTTTGGCTGAATACCCAATAATCACATGAAACAACAAACAAAAACAAGGAAATGAGAAAACTACCTTTAAAAGGTGATTTGTTATTTTTTAAATAACACGGGAACTTTTCAAATGTGACAGTAGAGACTGTTAAAAACTATTCAGCTCATTAGTGAATCTGTGATGAAGTCTCCTTCTCTTTCTAATTGAACAAGATTCCCTGCATTTAAAAGCAACCACGATGTAGACAAGGTTCTGAGACAAAAGATGGATTAACAGGAGCAAAGCAAGGAAGTTCTTTAAAGAATGCAGCACAGTCACGTGGGAGAGCACTAGCCACCAAAGCAGAAGCCCCTGGCCATCATATCAATGTTTCAACAAAGAGTAGTGGATTACAGCGTGACTCCGGAGAGGACAGGAAACTGCAGAACCTACCTGGCTGGTGGGTCACTCGGGCTAACAGTGGAGCCTCCTGACCAACGGCCAAGGAGGAAGCCAATGGAAGAGAGACAACAAGTAGGACTACCCCTTGTTGCACTCATCCTTTCCCAGATTTTAGGTCAACAAACACGGGCAACCAGGGCCATAAACTTAAATTATCTTTGGCTCAACAAAGGCATTATGCTGGCCTGCCCCTGTCACCCGGCAGAAGACATTCAGGCAGTACCCTGGTCAGCCCAGGGTTCAATGAGAACTAGTCTGCTCATAGGTGTAAAGGACCCCTTTAAAAGAAAGATCCCACCGGGCGGTGGTGGTGCACGCCTTTAATCCCAGCACTCAGGAGGCAGAGGCAGGGGGATCTCTGTGAGTTCGAGGCCGGGCTGGACCAACAGCCTCGAAAACAATACAGAGAAACCCTGTCTCATAAAACCAAAAAAAAAAAAAGATCCCTGCCCACTTAAGCTCTCTTCTCTCTTTCAGCTCTCTTCCCTGTGGTTCCCCTGGGGCAGACAGGACTTTTCCTGTCTCCCTCTTCTCTTCTGCCCTCTGTGTCTCTTTGCCTCTTTTTTCTTTCCTTCCCCTT